CTAATGTTACCAGATTTTTGACACATGTTGTGAAATTTTCTTTTCTACAATTTTTACCAATTAAGTCTGAAATTCTGATATAGATATAATTAGCATAGCCTCATCTTTTCTTCTACCTCTAATATCTGCTCCCTTACTACAGCATATGGTTTCTGCTGGATCCTGTAAGGATACATTGGTTATTATGGTAGGAAAGCATTTGTCCAGAGACTTTCCCGAGTTTTTATTCATTTGAAATTGGCCATCTAGTTTTGTAGGAGTGATCTCAACAAATTATTCTTTGTAAGACTGTTGAGCAGTTCACGAGGGAAATAACTTTTCCCACCTTTATTTTGAAAGGTATTAATTCTGCTTAAAATAGTATTCTTGTACTTTTAAAATTGGAATTGCTCTCTAGACGAGGCAGAGTGGTTCATAGTGTTCTATGCGCCTACCTAAAGCCCTCTTGAGTTTTGTTTGTTGCTTTGGGAACACTCCAAGTCTACCACTTCTTTCACTAAGTGTGGGCTGCAATTTTAGATATCTGATTTAATTAGTCTGATTTTAAAACCGGGTGCAAGAAATATATAAAAGGACACCAGGACTTGGAAGTAGCTACTGTCTCATCCTTGAGTAACTTAAATTTTCCTGTTTCTGATACCACCCAGTTCTTTTTTTTTTTTTTGTCTTTTTTCGTGTCCGGCAACGGACCGCAACCCTCAGTGTCGCGCCCATACCGGACCGGGACCGGCAACGGTATCGCAACCCTCGGTGCTGTGCCCGCCCCTTGCTCAGCCAGTGAGCGGGAACCGGTCTACATGTGGGATCCGAACCCTCGGCGGGAGCGCCTCCACGCTCCCAAGCGGCGCACTGTAGCAGTGTGCCACCAGGCCGGCCCTACCACCCAGTTCTTTAGTGTTAGTGCTCTATCTAGTCTTTAGGACCTTATAATGCTCTCACTATGTTCTAGCAAGGTAAGGGGGGTTTTATTGATTTGCTGTTTAAATGAATATTAAATTTAATTGATATGTTCTGAATCTTTCATCATAACTAGTTTGACAAAGAGACATAATGAACCTAGGAACTTAATCATAGATAGCATTGGAATTAGTGTCATATTGAACACTAATAACCAGAATGCTTTTCAATATTTTTCTGACATCAATGTATGGACTAACAATTTAGCACAGTACACTCTGGGTTCTATGTTATGTATGTATGTTCTTTGGGAATATTCAGGGGTTTTTGCTTTGGGTCTGTGTGTGTATGTGTGTTGTTTTATATCTTTAACTTTTTCTGTTAGGATTGGTGGAACTCCACGTCCTACTCTAACTATTACAGGACCTGGAATGTGGTGGTCCATGACTGGCTATATTACTATGCTTACAAGGACTTTCTTTGGGTAAGCAGCAAGATTTAGTTGATATTACTTAAGAAATGGAGATTATTTTCCAGAAAGTATTAGTATTGTGCGGCTGGAAGAAGTTACACTTAAATGCTTATGAAGAAAGGGTGATAGTATCTTGTCATCAGTTTTCTTGTGAGATGTTTAAGAACCTGTCTACTTTTAATAGTACTGCTTAGAAAACAGTATGTACAGTTCTAGATCTAATACCATGTTTTTGCTCTGGATTTCATTTTACATGATTACAAAGTAAGAATGCATGGAGGTTTTTGGAGGAGTTGAAAAGACCCACCAATAATGGATCTTTTGTTATGAATCTTGTTGCCAACAAATAATCTCCCTCTAGCTTTTTTTCATTTGTTTTTGTTTCTTTGTTAAAAGTGGAGAAACACCAATGTGTGGATTTACATCTCTCCAAATACTGACACATGTCTTTGAGACATTCTTTAGAGCAGTATTTAGACTGATAAAATATAATCTTGAATCTCCTGGTTGTTTAACATTGGTATCTCTGGATTACAGTTTTTGTTAAGGGCACTTTTGGCTTGGTGACAGCATCTTGTGTGGAAATAGAACTATATTTGAGTGAAAAGTGTAGTTTCATATGTGGATGAGGCAAGTCTCTTCTCCTTTCTAAATCTTAGTTTTGTTACCTGTAAAAATGGAGA